TTTTGAAAACACTTATTTTACACAGCAATTTTATATTCATTAAAATTAACCTTTTATCAATAAAGTACTATTGTTTAGATATTAAAAAAATACTTGTCTGTCAGATATTGTTCTAAAGCTTAGCATCCAGATTAAGACAGACTAGGAAGAAGGATTGGCTGTCAACTTCGGAAATAGCAGGCTTTCAAAACCGTGTGTACAATAGAGCACACTTAGAGTCAACTGACAGATATGGCTCCTGAGGCTGAGCCCTCAAATTTGGAAACACAAAGAAGGAAGAACAGTTGTAAGCAGACACTAGTGACTGGAACATGGAATGTGAGAATCACAAATGTAAGAAAACTGTACATCATTAAGAAACAAATGAAACACTTAAATATTGACACATACTAGGTATTGGCAAAATAAGATGGATTGGCATGGGACATTTTGCATCAGACAATTATATGGTCTATGTATAATCTATTATATCATATATAATCACTGGAGATGAAAAGGTGAGGAAATATGGGGTCACTCTCTATTTTTTTAAAGGTCAGTTCTAGATCCATCTCTAAATGACAATGCTGTGAGTGAAAGGGTAATATCCAAACTCATACAAGGAAGTCCAGTGAATACCACTATCATTCAAATATATGTGCCAACAGCCAGAGCCAAAGAGGAGGAAATAGATTATTTTGACCAACTTTTGCAGTCAGATATTGATCAAACATGCAACCAAGATACATTAAAAATATTGAGTGTCTGGAATGCAAATGTTAGGAACAGGGAAATAGTGTCAGTAGGTGGAAAACATGGAATTGGTGACAAAAATGAGGCTAGGGATAGAAGGGTAGAATTTTGCACTATTTGTTTATTGCAAATAACTTTTCTAAGAAACATAAATGCAGACTATACACATGTATTTCACCTGATGGTTTCAATAGGAATCAGGTGAATTACATCTGTGGAAAGAATCCTTGGAGAAGCTCAATATCAGCTGTGAAAACTAGTCTAGGTGCTAATGTGTCAGATCATCAACTACTGATATGCAAGTTCAAACTAAAGCTAAAGACAATCAAAATCATAAGAACCAAAGTTTGACCTTGAGTCTATCCCACCTACAATTAAAAACCATCTCAGGAACAGATTTGAAGTCCTGAAAACTAATAAATGAGGATCACATGAGCTATGAGAGGATATTAAGAATATCATCCATAAAGAATGAAAAAGGTCATTGCAAAGATAGAGAAGGAAGAAAAGACAGAGATGAATGTCAGAAGAGAATCTAAGTATTGCACTAGAGCACCAAGAAGCCAAAGCAAAAGGAAGAGAGCAGGAAGTTAAGGAGCTGAACAAAATATTTCAAAGAGCAGCTTGAGAAGATAAAGCAAAAATTATAATGATATGTACAAAGATCTACATTCAGAAAATAAAAAAGGCTGAACTCGATTGGCATTTCTTAAGCTGAAGGAACTAAAGAACAAATTCAAGCTTTGAATTGCAATACTTAAGGATGGTAGTACAGAATACTGAATGATACAGGAAGCATTAAAAGAAGATGGAAGGGGTACATAGAGTGCACCAAAAAGAATTAGCTGATACACTCAAAATCCCTAGCCCTAAGAGAGATGCAAATTAAAACAACTAGGAGATATCATCTCACCCCAGTCAAAATAGCAAAATTTAACAGAACAGCAA